AGAAGATGTAGGGGAAAACCAGGCACGGCTCCTCTTCTGGGGCACTCGGCACCGACAGGGAGCGTTGCTCAAGACCCGCATTGGGTTTCAGCTACTAGAATTTCTGGAAAGGTCAGTGAAGGAGAACCCATACGAGGGTATTTCCCAGGCATAGAAATAAACCTTCCATTTTGGAAAAGTCCCTCTCAGCGTTTTGTGGGCAGGAACTATGTTTTCTCCTTTGCGTTAGGATGTGTTACGCTGCGGGGAGGGCGTGAAAGGACTTCTGGTGCTGGTGGGGTTGTTGGATGTTACTTGATCAAAGTGGGGCCCTCAAACCATGACATGTCCTGCAGAGCAGCTGGGTGGGAACCAGGCAGAAATGTGTCAGAGTGCCGGCTGGGGCTGCCCTGTGCGTGATCTCGTTTTGCCCACAAAAGGGGCTCCTGGCACCTGGAAAGGCTTGAACGTGAGTGTCAAGCTTAGTGGTAATTCATTCTAAATACCAGGACTTTATAAAGAAAGGAGCAGCTCTCCTTGCCTCTCCCTGTGACTTTTCTTAGCAGTAGCTGTGAGGGAAGTTTAATGCGACTGTATTTTAGAACTAATTGCTCAGATATATTACGCGGGGTGGGATTTTGGTGATTTATGTTATGCTGAAGTGACAGGCGTTGGCCAGCGCAGATCAGATCACCCTAAGAGGTGTCACTGCGATACACGCGGTTTGTTGTGAAGGAAGGGGTAGACTAGATCCTATAACCTAGAAATCGGAAGACACACACTGCAGGGGTTGAGCTCTTTGCAGCGGGGCTTTCTTTGGGTTTAGGAGTTGCTGTGTTGGTGAACTGGGCCAGACCTGCTCCTCTCTCCCCTCTGGCCTGAGCGGATGCAGGCGCACACGGCTTCGTGACTTTCTGCTCACTGAGCACTGGGCAGCTGGACAAAGAGCTGTGGGAACACAGAGAGCCAGGAGAAGGAATCTGGAGTCGTGTGCAGTCGTTCTGTTTGACTTCCTTCGGTGGTTCTCCTCTCGCCCAGCACTTTATCATAAACCACCCACCGAAAACCAGTATCTGTGGTGAGAAACCCCAGGTATTGTAAGAGCAGCCTCCCGTGAGAGTAGTGCCAGAGATGTTTTTATTGATACTTTGCTGAAAAATAGTTCTGGTACAATCAAACTTAGACTGAGTGACACAACTTTGAGGTTTTTGCTGTGTTCTACAGTTGCGACAGTTCAGACCTCTAAGAGCAGAGCAACTGCAGCAAGGATCCACTTGGAGACTTTTTCTTTTGTCTTTAGGTTGAAGGTCCAGATGTAGGTGGGACCTCGCATCCGTGTCCTATAGACAGGACATTCATAGACGTTCTTGGTGTCCATGCGGTCCACAGGGATGGCTTTGATGAAGATGACGGGCATCGGGGGCGTCAGCTCCTTCAGACGAGCGTCGGCGATCACACCGGACTGGGTGTCCCATCGAGCGCCTGCAACAGCACGCGGTGGTCAGGATGTCACCTCCCGGTGCTTTTTCGCTTGGAGGGGCTCTTTTTGGACTGGTGGTGGGTGGGCAGGAGGTGGGCAGGTTGAGGGTGGGCTGAGGAGGTTGGCTGGCTGTGGCTCAGTAGTCGTTAGGGCTAACATCATCGTCTCACTGTGACTCGTGGATGCGTTTTGCCTTACTGTGTGTGGGATGTCTAACTAAATCCTGTCCCCCCATCCCTTCAGCAGGGCTTTGCATGAAAGCTGCGCAGCTGGAGGCAGAGCTTGGCCGTGGTGGGAGCCGCGCTGAGCTGTCCTGCGCGCCCTGTGCTCTCGCGCCCCTTCCCTGCTCTGCTCGTGCTGCCATCTCGTTCCCCGCGGGTTTTAGCAGGAATTGCTCTAGGTTCTGAGTTTCCCAATTTGTCTTACTCGCACATCAAATAAGAGTGTAGTGTGTTTATTCACTAGAACCAGTGCTCAGGTTCCCCATAGGCAGTCTGAATCTCCAAAAAAAAGACACTCTGGGGGTTGTGAAACTCTACCTGTGACACGGGTGGGTGCTGCCCTCGGCTGGCACGTCCCTGGCACTGGCTGCAGCAGCTTCTGCACAAGCTGCACGAATTCCCCGCAGCCCAACAGGGCTACACCTGCTTTGTTTGCAGCAGTTTTTAAGGCCAAACTGAGCTTTCCCCATGTCTGAAACATCTCATAAAACTGCAGTCTGTTACCTTCCATGAATAGTCCGTGCACGTAGGAGCCTTCTCTGGGGGGAGCTCTTATATCCTCACGTTTTTTCTTGGTCACGTCCACTGAAAGACACATCTTGTCGAGTGGCCACTCGTTTTTCCTGGCCGTGGACTGCATGATCGCCGTGAGGAAGGACTGGGGGTTGAAGAATCCTGCCAGCCACACCGCTGCCGGCAGCGCGAAGTCTGTCGTCCAGACTTCCAGTTCCTGGAAAGCAAAGCGAGCGGCGTTACTCCAGAGCGACGCGGGGCCTCTGAGGAGCAGAACGTTGCTCTGAGGTTTGGTGTGACAGCGCGGATGCTTCGCTGTGCCTGACACGAGCTTCACGTCATCTTCCAGAGGTGAAGATGAGGGTGGAGGTGGTCTGTGAGGGTAACTGGCAGATTCCACTGCAGCAATGGAAGTCAAGCTGTTAATTTAGATTGCAGTGAATACTGCTGCTATTTTTTTAACAGAGCCGCGCTTTAAATAGATGGGTTTATTGAATTTTTTTTTTTTTTTTTTACTTCTGAGAGTTATAAAGTTACGATGGGGTTAGCTAATGTCCTTTTGCAATAGTGATATGGTGAACTTCTGCTCCCGTTCTTGGGGTAACAGGCTGTTTCGGGTACTTCAGACTGTTTAAGTTAATATTGACAAATAAACCAGTTAACCACTGTACACCGGTGGAGGGGATTCCTGGTCTCCCGTGGTGTCGGCTTGCGCCCTAAGCTTTAAGGTTCACAAGAAATGTGCTCACCCGGATGCGGAGGAGCAGGTCTGCGTACCAGGCTCCCAGGCTGAGGAGGGAGGGGTAGGCGACACGCGTCCAGGATTCAGGAACGCTGTCGTAGAAGAGAGCGTTGGCCAGCTCCTCCATACGCGACGTAATCGTGAGCTCTCCCTTGAAAACAGAGGAAAGTCAGGGCAGTTCTCTCTGAGGAAAGTGAGGCCAAGGTCTGCAACTCTTGGCCAAGGGGGAGGCTGGGACTGTCCGGCCGTTGCCAGGCGCCGTGTGTGGGGCAGAGTTCGGCACGAGCAGCGGCCGCTCCTGGGGAGTCCTGTGCTCCAGCACGTACCTTCAGTCCCAAGTCGAGCTCCTTCAGTGAGCGCCTGATTTCTTGGGTCAAGATGTTCATCCTTTCGCACTCCTGGAAGGCAACTACGACGTACGGGGTCTTTTCCTCCGCTTTCGCCATGATCTCCAGCATGTTGAACGGCTCCGGCAGCC